CCCCACGACGCGGTCCTCTCCTTCTTCTCTCCCCCGAGATAAGGCGCGGCGATTGCCTTTGTGGTGCGACAAGCAGTCGTGCGCCCCGCGCGGCGGCGCCTTTCACCCCTTTCACCTTGCCATTCCAGGGAGGGGCGGGGAGAGTTAGAGCAGAGGGGGAGAGAAGAAAGAGCCCGCGCGGAGGAAATATGGCAGACCACTGCGGGGGCGGGGGCTAAGATAACCCATGTGTATTGAGAAGAAATGGAGTCCCGCGGTAGTATTTCATACAGAGTAAAAGTGAACAGTTCGAACCAGAGCGATATGCTGCTGTGATGTCCTCGGCGAGGAGCAAGGGAGAGCGAGGACGGTGTCTCTTTGTCCGATGTCCATCTCCACAGAAATAGGTCCCGCCGCAGACTGAGGAGGGCGCTGCTGCCCCGGGGCCGCGGTACTGTAGATGCGAGATCTCAACGGCCTCGGGCTTGTGCCCAACGACCTGGTATGCCGCCTCTTCCCGCCCCGCCCCGCCCTGCCCCGCCCCGGGGGCCCAGCAGGTGTCGATACAAGGGGACACCACCTGAGCCCCGGTGGGTAATTAACAGGCCCCTAATTCTTGAACAAACACGGTGCTGCGGGTCGCTGCGCCACGCCACGCCACGCCACGCCACGCCGCAGGCGCTAGGCCGCCGCTAGGCCGGGGCTACCTGCCTCGCTGCGCCCCGCTGTGATACAACACACACACACACACGTTATCGAGGCCCCCTGATATCGTTAGTTTCGTGGAGCAGCGCACCCATTCCTGCCGGCGAGCGAGCGAGCGCGCGCGCCGGGGAGCCGCGCCTCCCGCTCCGTTGCCGCTATGCGTTCGGCAGAAGGTCACATGAGGTCTCAATATAGTGTATTTCGACTAACGGAGGAAGAAGAATAGCGGGTAGAACATGAAGGTCCCTGATTGGCCGAGCGCCTACCCCCACTACCGGCGTGACGTAGAGGCGGGAAGCTCTCGGCCAATCGGTAACGTTTATGTTCTACCCGCTGTTCTTCTTCCTCCGTTAGTTGAAATACACTATTGTCACACCACACCAAGTTTCTCCTTGAAAAAGTCACTCACTTTGTCGTCCGTAGCTTGCCAATCTCACGCGGCGAAGTGCGTAGGTGACGCACTGCTCGATGGGCGACGAGTGGTGTTGTTGTTTTAGTGCGCGAGGCAGGGCAGCCATCCGGGTCTCAAAAAGTCGAGATGCGACTGTCGCATTGCTCATACACTTATTGTCGTTCACAGCCGCGACATCGACCAAAGTAACGAGCCTCATGTCAGATCTCGTCGAGCGGATAATGCTACGCACGCACACAACACACACCATTGCGCCCGCAAATAAAATCGCACAAAGCGAGCGGTGTGCCGATCAGTGAACGGCCCTGAGGCATTCCGGGCGCGAGTGAAACCCGGTGAAACCAGCGGGCAAATAGAGCGGTTTGGTTATCCCGCGGCCCGGGAGCTCCAGCGGCGCAAGCCCGACGCTCGCCGCGCTGTAAAAACGAACCAGTGGAACTGTGCCTGCTGACCAGAGCGGAGACCAGAGCAGGGGTCCGAGCAGCTTGCTGGCTCTATGATCGCCCGCGGAAAAATACCACCCCCGCTGCGCTCGCCTGCTGGCATTCCACCCAGCATGTACCCATGATGACCCGAACGCCATTCAAATACGGTATGAGTTCGTGAGTAAAATCCAACGCGCGTCACCGAGGAGAGAAGAGGAGGAGTTTGTGCGGAAAGGGGAAAGGCACACGGAAGACGCGCGGCGGCGGCGGCGGCGGCGACGGTGACGAAGTGCGAGAGAGACGAGAGAATGACACAGGGGAGGGGGTGAAGGAGGGTTGAGGGTGGTTAGAAGACCAAAGCAGCAGGGGGAGGGGGGGGTGGATGGGGGAGAGTAAAGACGTCATTCGTAGCGGGCGAGGCGGCCGCCGCCGTGCCAGGGCGTACCGCGCGCGCGCCGCCATCTGGGGGGCCGCCGCCGCCCTGGATGTGACGACGCCGTTCGGCTGCCGCCGCCCTCATTTCTCCGGCGTCCCCCGTTGACGAGCGCGGACGCTCCGGAGTGGATCGCGAATAAAGGAGGACGCGGATAGATATAAGACTCCAAGCTTTATATATTCAAAACGCCTGGGTATCCATATTCCTCTCTCTCTCTGAATTCGAAAAGGGATAAACGTGTCAGAAATGCGAGCGCGCTCGCGGGTGCCTGACGCCGCCGGGCTCGTGGGGGTACTCCACCTCCACCTCCCCCTACCAGCCCCTACCCCTCCGATATGATGGTGATCGCAGTCCCACTCACGACGGGCTGCCTGCTGTCCTCCCCCCCCCCTCCCCCTCACCCCGGCCGCGCTGTCAGCTGTCAGGCAAACAGACAGACGGTCGCCTTGATACCGACCCGTCGTGCCCGTGGGGGGAAAAGGGGTCGGAGGAGGTACGGGCGAGTGGGTAGGAGGGGAAAGGACGGCCCCTGGGGCGACACCGCTCATACCCCGACGCCCCTCAAAATGTATACCCCTCTCCTCTACGAGCGGCCCCTGCGAGCCGCCGCTAGCAGGACCGGTCAGGAGCTAGGAGCAGCAGCGTAGAGCTGCCGGTGGGCGGGCGGGGGGCGCACGCAATTTTATGCACCCCCAAACCACTCCCATCCCCCTCATTTGCGGAGCGTTGGCGTGAGGAGGGAGAGTGTAAGAGCGGGGGGGGGGGGGGCGTCGTCGTCGTGGTCCCTGACGACACCCGGAGGCGCCCCTCTCCTGATTCCATTACTGTTTTGAGGAGAGGGGGAGGGTAGAGGGTCCCCGGACAGTAGTGCTGCTGCTGCTGCTGCTGCTGTGGAGGGGCATGGAGCAGGTCTGCAGCAACCCCTTTCAGAGAAAGAGCGGCGTTGCTGCGCCCAACCCAGCCCGCAGCTGGGTGCAAAACTTCTCATATCCGAACCATCTCCGCTCGGCTATCTCAAGAAATATGTAACAAAGAGAGGGACTCTTTAGGCACCCCCCGCTGCTGCTGCTGCTGCTGCTGCTGCTGCTGCTGCTGCTGCTGCTGCTGCTGTGGCGGAGCGGGAGCAGCACGCTCACGCTGCGCAACAAGTGCGTGGCGAATAGAGCGTCGCAGAGCATCATCCTCGCGGCTGGCTGAGAGGCGCCAGGCTTCACGCCAGCCGCTGGACACCAGGTGCTTCTTGACCTTTAGGTCAGCAGGGGGAAGTCAGCCACCGGACGACCCTCTGCCGAGGGTTAATGCAGATGGGGGTCCTCCACGCCAAGAGACACGTTGCCGGCCGGCCGGGGGGATCGCCAGAGGCTAGCAGCATCCACCATCATCCGAAAACTGGGACGGTAGCACAGGGATGTGGGATCGAGGAAGATAATTTCCGGTGAGAGACTCTTAAGGAGAGAGGAAGAGAG